GTTGAGTTGATTGTCTTTTTACACGAAACACACACACACACACACACACACACACTGTCTGTCTGTCTGTCTGTCTGTCTCTCTCTCTCTCTTCTCTCTTCTCTCTCTCTCTCTCTCTCTCTCTCTCTCTCTCTCTCTCACACACACACCCCCATATGTGTGTTCTGACTTCCTTTGGCTGCTTCAGATGGAAGGTTCAAATGATGGCTACTCCCTCATACCCTGTCTTTTTTTTCCTACTTGTGCACTCTGATTTTGTAAGATAGTCATTCCTCTATTCTTTCTTTCCTAATGTATTCCTCTTTTCCTCTCCCTTTCTTTTCTTCTTTTAAGATTACCTGAACATAAGAAAACCACTCCCTCTGTCTTATTTAATTCTTTCTATGACCTCTGATGACATTAGATTTCTGCAGAGACTCTTGTTTCATCTCTCTTTTTAGAACATAAACATTTCATCTTCGTATCATTCCTTCCTAGTGCTTGTATATAATTTCTATTTCTCTTGTCTCCTGTGTTCATATTTCAAAGTTTCTAACTCATCTCTGGTGTTTTCATCAGAAGCTTTGAAGTTCTCTATTCTGTTTATGGTTCATTCCCCATGTACCACACCCTTCCCCTGCCGAAACTCATATTCAGTTTTTCTAGGTAAGTTATTCTTTGTGGTAAGCCTATATCTTTTGTCTCTTGTGAGATTGCATTTCAAGCTTTCCAGTCTTTTATGGTGGTAGTTGACAAAGCTTGCTTGATCTTAACTGTGGGTCCTTGGTACTGGAACTAATTACTTTCTGGTATTTTCTGGTACTTTCTGGGACCTCTGGTTTGGGGATCTTACATTTTTCATTTGGTGGTTTCTTTTAGAAAGTGATAGGTTCTTTCTACTTTAACTTTGCCCTCTGATTCTAACAGGTCTGGGCAGTTTTCACTCTTGAAATATGATATCCAGTCTCTCTCTCTGTCTCTGATTTTTTTTGTTCTTTGACTGGTTTTCCAGCTCATTTGTTTTACATGTGAAATGCCCTACATTTTCTTCTACTTTTTTTTCCCATCTTAGGGGACCAGAGCACCCAGCCTTCATTCTCCTTCCAGCTTTGCTCTTGACTTTGCAGACTTCAAAACCATGCTGCATCTGCTGTCTCATACTGGAACTTCCCTTGCCACCCAGGGCCTGCTTGCCCTGTAATATTCAACTGCTGTTGTCACCTTCTCACCATGGAATATCCCTCTGTCAGTCTCTCTCCTCCCGCTGGTGAGCTCTTCCTTCCCTTTGTGTATGGGGCCAGGCCAGCCCAGCTTCATTCTCCTCCTGACTCTGTTTCTGACTTTCCTGACTTCCAAACCATGGCCTTGTGAAAGGTGTCTTCATCCCCTCCCCCCAGACACTTTTTATCTTCCCCTATTAGAATGTAAGCTCCTTGAGAGTAGTGATTGTTTTTCTTTTGCTTGTAATTTTATTCCTAACACTTAGCACCAGGCCTGGCAGGTATGAAGCACTTTAAAATGCTTTTTTCTTTCCTTCCCTCCTTTTAATAATTCCTGTTATTTCATGGAATCATTAACTTCTATTTGACATATTTTAATTTTCAGAGATTCTGTTACTTGGGTAAGGTTTTTTACCTCATATTAAATGTTTTTTTTTCTTCCAAGCCTTTCCCCCAGATCTCTGATTCCTTTGCCACTTTCTGTCCTCTAAAGTTCTCACTTTATTTACATAATTTTTTTGCTTTTTTTTTGGTGAGGCAATTAGGGTTAAGTGACTTGCCCAGGGTCACACAGTTAATAAGTGTCAAGTGTCTGAGGTCAGATATAATATCATTTTAAAACTAGTTCTTGCTTTCTGTCTTCTAGGAATTCTCATCGACCTTGTTGTGTCCAAGCTCTGTTTCTCACTGGGGCTTCACTGCTGGGTATCTTGGAGTTAGTTATGTCTTCTGCGTTTGTTACTGGGTGTCCCTGTCTGCATAATCGCTTCTTTTTACTGTCAAGGGGCTTTGCTCGCTTGTTTACTTGTTCTTCCAGACTTGTTTCTTGAACTGTGATTTTATGTGTGGGCTGGACTCTGAACTCCTGGTGGGAATGCTGGGTCTTTGTTTGGTCCTGTTCTGTATTATCTGGGGGGGTCTATTGCTGCTTTTTTCTGGGTTTTGTATGCTGTGCCCTTCAAGGGGCACTTAGGGGTGGCATAGGCCAACGAGATGCAAACTTTCAGTGGCTGCCCTCTTCATCTAAGATTTGCAGGCTCCCTACCCCAGGATGTGACTGGGTAACACAGTTGCATACTTGCCCCCGGCTGGAGCTGTAGTAGACAGTTGCTGGCCCCCCCATCCTGCCAATCAGCTTGAAGGCTCTAGAGGAAGCCCCTCCCCCATCTGCATCTACTATCATGCTCTTGGGTCAGAGCAACAGAGTGATTGGCTCAACTCAGGTTTTCATTGCTTGACCCAACGTCGGTGCTGGGTCTGTGGCCCAAGCGCTGCGGGCGCTCTCCTCTTCTGTTCACAGCCACCCAGTGCTAGGCACCAGCCCAATTTCTGCCCTGGAACGCTCTGTGCAGCCCTTCTTGGCAATGCCTGCAGGCTTCTGGCTGCTTCCCTGGGCTGTCTGGGGCAGCAGCAAGACGTGCTCCTTATATTTAGTGGTTGCCGCTGGGTCTGGTGTTCTTTTTCCAGGCTTTTTTGGAATAGTTATGGGAGAGCAATGCACTGCATCGCTTCCTCCACTGCCAAAGCTGCCTAGTTGTTCTCCTGCCTCATGTCTTCCCCCTCTGATTTATTCTGAACGTGTGGTCCGCATCTCAAGAAGCACCTTGGACTCCGTGGAGCCTCCGAGGTGAATCCAAATTTCCCTGCTGGCCATTTGCAGCCCTTCACGGCCCTGCTTGTGTTTGCAGACTGACCGTACCCTGCTGCCTCTCACATACTCCCTGTTCCCACCAAACTGGCTTCTTGCTCTTCTCACATCTGCCACCTCAGGGGCTTGGCTGCCCCCTACGCCAGGAGGGCTCTCCTCCTCCCCTCTGCCTCTTAGAGCCCCTCGCTTTCCCTCAGAGGTCTGCTTAAACGCCAGGAAGCCTTTCCTGGTCTTCCACCTCAGGCAGGGCTCCTTCCCCTGACATTCCTTGGTATCTTTTGTGTTTCCTTTTCTTGGGTTCACACTGTACCACCACCAGTAGAGTGGAAGCTCCTTCAGGGCAGGCGTTGGTCTACTTTGGGCTTTGTATCTTTAGTGTCCCCTGAACCTAGCATAGAGTAGGCACTTAATTGTTGCACCAACTAGCAGGTCTGAATTTTTCTTGAACGAAGATTAATCAAACATCTTATTTCCCCTAGTGCTAGGTAGCCTTGAAGAAAGTGAGGGTGTTTGCTGGCGGGTATCAGTGTACCAGAAGGAAGAATAAAGGACTATATAGACACCATTAGGGAGAATCAGCACGGACATGCGGACAACGGCCAATGAGCACATTCTGGACTCTATGCATGCCAGAGACCTCTGCGGGCCTAAGACAGTATGACAAAGGTTGCTCAGGGCTGCCAGGCGGCGCCACAGAGCACGGAGCCCTGGGCCTGGAGTCAGCAAGGCCCGAATTAGGCGCTAGGGGGCGCCGCAGTGCACGGAGCCGACTGGAGGGGAGAGGGGCTGGAGTCACTAAGACCTGAGTTCAAATTCATCCTCAGATACTAGCTGGGTGACCCTGGACAAGTTTTTTCACCTCTATCTACCTCAGTTTCCCCCTCTGTAGAATTAGCTATAGGAATGGCACTGATCTCCCAAAACTGCAGCGAGGCTCCACTGAGATAATATTTGCAAGCATGCTTAGCACAGTGCCTGGCACTTACTAAATGTGTGTTTTCCCTTCATTGTCCGAGCCTCGCACAGGCCGGCTCCCAGGACCCTGCTAGGGGAAGCAGACGGCGACAGGGACAGGCCCCTCCCGGAGACATTCCTGAGCTCACGATCCTGCTTCCCACTTTTCCTTTGGTCCAGATGTCTGAGCTGCCAGGCTCCCAGACAGTGCCTGCGAGGAGCGTGTCCCAGGGGCGCAGTTCTGTCTGGTCCAGGGCGAGAAGCGTGTCCGTGTGTCTAGGAGCCCTGACGAGGCCAAAGCTGACCGCTGAGCCCGGGGGCCACCTGGAGCAGTCACGCTGGCTCACACCCACTTCAGGCTCCACTGGGAGACTGGCAGACTGGCCCCCCCTGAGGGCACGGACCGCCTCACTGGTCTGCATGCATCCCTGGTCCCTGGCATGGTGCCTGGCCTTGCGTCCATGCCCAATAAATGCCCTACGGTTGGTTTACAGCACTCACATGTTTTCTCTGGTCTGCAGGAGGCATCGGAGGGGGTCTGGTCGTCTGAGGGCTCAGCCTCTCATCTTCATTCTGACTTCCTCCTCAGCTGGGCTCTCCCACAATGCTCAAGCATACAGGAGCACACATAAGCGGGTACACACAAGCATGAACAGTACGCATGAACCTGAAAACACATGCACACATACACTCACAACTGAGCACACGCATGCACACACGCATGCACGAGTACATGCACAAGCACATGCACACACAACACGCAAAGCACATGTATACATACACAGAGCATAACTGGGCACACACATACACTCACACATGAGCACACACAAGTACATGCACAAGCACATGCATACACGTGCATGCACACACATAACACACGCTCACATGAGCACAACTGAGCACACGCATGCACACATACACATGCACACACAAGTACATGCACAAGCACATGCATGCACATGCTCACTCACACACAGCATGCACGCTCACACGTACACATGAGCACACAGCACAATGCATAACATATACTCACACATATTCACACACATTCACACACAGGGCTAGCGCCATGGACGCCCTCGGGCTCCGGCTGGGAGGTGTGGACCTGCGCTTTGCTCTCCCACGGATTACCCTGCCCGCTCTGGGCTTTCACCTTCGCCTCTCCGTGACTGAGTCTCTTCCCTGCTGCCCTTTCTCAGGCTGACCTGCAGCAGAAGAAGGAGCCGGCTCAGGAAGACTCGGACTTGGACCGTAAGCGGAGGGAGACGGAAGCGCTGCTTCAGAGCATCGGCATCTCTCCGGAGCCGCCGCTAGGTACTTACCCGGGAGGGCTCCGGAGCCGACCGACCGCCGAGCTCAGAGCTTTCTACCCAGGGAAGCCCGCCCCGTGCCCTGCGGCTGCCATGCTCCAAAGGGGCCCTCATGCCTGAGAGAAACGTGTGGCTGTGGCCGGCGCATGTCCTCATGTTTTAACCCTTGATTTTCTGTTGTTGTTTCTTTTTCGTCTGGTTTCATTTTCTGGGCCCGGAGCGTGGGGATGGAGGAGGCACCACTTTAGCGGTCGGGGCCTTCTCGGCCTGTCTTGTGGCCAATCAGAGGCAAGCACTCATGGAAACAGTCAGGGACTGCCTTGGTGTCCAGCGCAGGGGCAGAAGCTGGGGGAGCTCCCAGCCCCGTGCTGAGGCTGTGGCCTTGGGGACATCCTTCTGATGGATCAGCACGTGCCAAGGCCTGACCAGACTCTTTTGCCAGTGTCCCTGGCCCGGGGCTGATGGGGAGCAGGGTGGCGGAGCCTGGCGGCTTTTCCATCTCTGTGTTAAACATCACTTGTCCAGGATTTCCAAGAGTGGAGACCACACACCAAACAATTGGCTTTTTGTTCTCCTGCTCACTTTCCATTCATTCCAGAATCTTCACTGGGGTAACTCCCTGGGGAGCAGCCAGTAGATGAATGGGAGGTGGGCAGGGGGTCTCCATTCTTCAGACAGAGGACAGTTTCAGGTCCCTTCCTTGTCCAAAGTGCGGCTCTTGCGGGAGTGGGTGGATAGGTTATGCTAGAAGCAGGCTTGGGCTTTGAGCTTAGAACAGGCTCCTGAGCTGGGTCACCAGGGCTCTAAGGGGGTACGACCGATGGTCCCGCCTGTGGGGAGCTCTTTGAGAGGCCCCTTGACCCAGAGAGAAGCCGAAGTGTGACTCCAAAGACCCTCCCACTCCCACTCCCACTCCCGCTTTGAACCTGAGTGGGGCCTGTCCCACAGCTTCTCATTTGTGTATCTGTCCCAGGGTGTTACTTTCCTCTGTGTAACTTGAAAGGGCTTCACTAGGTGGTCATTTTTCCAACACTCATAGTTCCATGATTCTGGATCTAGTGGCCGTAAATTGGGTGCCAGTTTCACAAGGCCCAAAGTTGGACCTCGTGAACAGTTGGGACACTGGACTTACCCTGGTGTCACAGGCTGGGTCACTGAGGACATGCGGCTGGGAAATCTTGTGGGGGAGGGGATAGTGGTAGCTAGCTAGTCAGGCTTTCTCCAAGGCCCCAGAGATTGGTCCTAAAAGCTCAGCAACACGGACACCTGCCAAGGATGGCTGTGGTGTCTCCTCCTTGCCCCTCCCCACTTAGAGGACCTCAGAGGAATCGAGAGCACATGACCCCACCTTGACCAAGGAAGCACCCGCTTGGCATCTGCCCAGGGACCCCTCCTGCCTGGCTCATGCTCTGCCGTCCCCAGGGAGCTTCCAGATTGCAGTCAGTGACATCATAGTGAACCCACATGAACACTCCCAGGTCTTGACAGATCTGCTTTTGTGTGTTACACCCTCTGCCTTATTAAATAAATAAGAGACAATTACAGATGATGGGAACCAAATGGCGGGGTCTCCCCTAAATGTGCGGCCTCTGCCTTTTTCAGGCTAGTGGAATGAGCCTGGGCTGGGGCCAGCCTGGCAGGTAGGTGGGGCCCCATTCTGGCTTCTTTCTGAAGGACATTTGGAGGGAAAAAAAACCATGGAATTTCTTTAGCTTTGCTGTTCACTAGCTTTGCTCTCAGACCTGCAATGATTTTCCTTTTTCCTTCAAAAAGTGGCCCCCGGGGCAGGCATGTGACAGCGCTTTCACTTTGGTGGTCTGAGGGCTAGGGAATACAAGTCCTGGGCACAGTGAACCCTAACTGAGTGAAGAGCTGGCCCCCTCCTTCCCCATGGGAGCCTCCATGCTCTGCTCCTCCCCCACACTCAAGAGACCCAGACCCCCCCAGGGGAAGGACAGAGGGGGACGGACTGGGTTGAGCAGGCAGGGAGACTTCCTGGGGCTTTCATTTGTCACCAGGGCCACTCCTGCCCTAACCAAGCCCAAGGCGGCCCTGGCCCCAAGCCACTTTGGCCCCAGTGACCGGCTTTGGTTGGCTAGGGCCGGGTGGCCTTGGAATCACAGTCGACCCTGTCAAAACTCATTTCAAACTTTAATTTCCAAAAATCTGTAAAATTCACTTGACTTTCTTCCTTTTCCTTTTCTTTCCTTTTTTTTTTCTTGTCTCATTTCAATCTCCTGCCCATTCGATCGATTTCTTTTGACTCCGTTTGCTTTGGTTTGTCTGACGCTGCTGTCACCAGTGCAGTCGCTGCATTTTGTAACATGGGATACCTGTTATTTTCATTATTTAGTCCCAACCCCTATGTCTCCCTCCTCGAAATCAGCGAGCACACCTAGCGAGGCCGGCAGCCAAGATTCTGGAGACCTGGGACCACTGACCAGGTAAGGAGGACCCTGGCACCTCCCTTGGGGTTGGGGGTGGGAGTGCTGGGGAGCAGCTTCTGCTACGGGGCTGTGCACATGGTGACTGTTTGTCCTGGCCCTCTCCTGGGTGGCTGGCTCAGTGCTCCCTGCGGTCCTGAGAGCTCCTACTTCTGGGACCTCCACGGTCTGCAAAGGGCTTCTCCTCAGCAGATCCAGGGGTCATTGGTTCAAGGACTCTTGTTCCCATTTCACAGATGAGTGGGGGGTCAGAGCTAGGCTTCAGCCTCTGTTCTCTTAGCTCTGGGTCCCCATCCCACTGTCTGTTACCTCTCTCAATGTTGACAAGAAGAGTATTCCTCTTGTTCCAAGGTTGAGCTCTGTCCAGACTGGACCTATTCCCATTCTCTTTTGACTTGGCTTTCATGAGCATTTGTATGGGGGGCAGAAATCAGGCTGTATCTACATAGCACAAAGGGACAGGAGATTAATTGGGAATCTTGGGAACGTTTGGAAACCCAAGACCAGAGAGGGACTTGGCATTAGTTTGAACCATCTGGGCTGCCCAGGTTGGTGTCCAGGCTGCCAGACCTCCCAGGAGAACAGAAAGGGCTTGATGCCTGCAAGGGCAGGGAGGACAGAGGCAGAGAAACAAGGCAGCTTAGAGGGAAGGATTTCTGGATCCCGGAGGAGGTGGGTGAGTGGGAGGCCAGGGTGTGTGAGGGCTAACACCCACTTCTAGCTATCCTCCTGCTAAGAGGCAGAAACCTGAAGCCAGCGGGTGTCGTCCCCCACCCTCCCAAAGGAGGAAGAATTTGGCCCGCTGGCCAAATAGCTCTGAAAACCCACTCTCCCAGTTCCATCCATTGAGGTTCTTGCTTCAAGTCCAAGAGACCTTGGCCGTCTGTCCCACAGCTGGGTCTCCCCTTCAGCCCTGAACCTCTGGGTAACTGGGGTAACCCCTGTCCCTCTAATTCAGGGCTATGGGGGAATGCAGGAGGCAGTGATGGCCTCTGCCTACCTTCTGTGCTCCTTCTCTGAGAGAATGACCAGAATGACTCGCAGGTCCCATGGTGGGAAGAAGACTCTCTTCTCCTAGAGAATCCCACTTCTTGGTCCTATGGGTGACAGCACGGGAAAGTGCCCATGGCTTAAGGCCAGTGAAAGATTCAGAGTCAGTGGACCAGGGTTCAAATTCCATCTCTGCCGCTTACTACCCATGTGACCTTGGTCAAGCCCCTTCCCTTCTCTGTCTCATTTTCATCTTTGTAAGAGGAGGCCCTAGACCCGAGAGGGTCCTTGCAGTTCTGCGTTGGGGGCCCAGGCTTTGTGAAAAGCTCAGCAGCTGCCTCTCCCCAGGGGAGGAGGAGCTGTGGGTTCAGGGTGCCCTCCGGTGTTGGGGGAAGGGACACGGTCTGCGGCTTCCTTCGAGGAAGCCTGTGGCTGGAGGCTCGGACCCTGGTACCATCCTCTGTGGCTCCTCCCGTGACTGGCTACTTGGAATTGGAACCTGGAAGGGCTGGGTCAGGCAGGGGCTCTGCTGCCCAGGGCCTTTAGAGGAACTTTACTTTAGGGAAAGAGCCTCCTCCCTTTTATGCCTAGGGCATAGGCCCCTGCCCTTCGGAGCTCTGCTGGTTCTAGCCAAGGGAACCCACTCCAGGGGCTGCCAATCTCCCCTCTTTCCCTGGCCGTCCTCCTCAAGCTGACTCCCTCCTCTCACCTCCCGTTCTTACTTCCTTTCCGCAGTCCCTCTTTACACTCCCCCTTCCAGCCAATCCAGTCATCACGTCTCTTGCCTCTTTAAGGTGAACACAGGCAGTCTGGACATCGGCCACCCACTCACGTCTGCTTCTCAGAAGGGTCCCCGCTATCCCAAAGTAACCCTGAGAGCTCTGGGAAATCCTCCCAGCATTTCTGATGATAGCACTGAGGGTCCCTGAAGATTTCACCACACTGTAAAGATATTATCTATTTGACTGTCCCAACAAGCCAGGCTGGCTATCACCACTCCCATCTTATAGATAAAAAACAGAGACCCAGAGAGAAAAATCACATGCCAGGGTCACACAGCTAAGGAACGTTGGAGGTCTCCAAGTCCAGCATTCTGCCCTTAGGACCACCTCTCGGTCCTTAATCCAGCCACACCCCTGCTCCATCGGCACTGGAGGAACACTGCTGTCTGGGGCAGGAAGTGGGTCCACCATTGTTCCCTTGGTTGGATACATTGCCTTAGAATGTTTCTAGATCATTCAGATGTCCTGCTGCCGTCACCACCTATGGAATATTTCAAGAGTCAACAAGGAGGAGCTGGAAGGAAGGTCGTCATCTGATCTCAGCCCTCATTGAAAGGGGAAATGTCTTGTATTTGGTCACCCAGCTACTAAGTGTCAGGAACAGCATTCCCATCTGTCTCTCTGCTCCTCACTAGACTGTCCACCAAGCACAGGTCAACCTTTTCCTAAGGCCTACAGGGAGGGACCTGCAGACCTTGAGATGAGATCTCTGGCTGGGAGTGGCCAACCTCCACGGGCACACTCAGAGCAGCTGGGAGGCTGCTCCTGACAACCTCTGAAACCAGCAGGGTGGGCAGCCTAGGGTGGTCTGCCTAGAAATGAAGTAGCCAGAGCATTGGCAGGTGCTTGGAGGCACTATAGGAGGATGGTGCCTGCTGGCCTCAGGCGTTCCTGGGGAGATGGAGGGGATGTGACCGAACGGTCCAGTTTGGCATTCCAGTGCTTGGCCCTCTTCTGTACTTTGGGTCCACAGCTCACACCAGTCAGTGTTCAGAATTCACTTTGGCAACTGTGATAGCTCAGTGTGTTTGATACACAGGTGTGTACCATCTCTTCTGGGAGGTCAGCTGAGAAGCTACTGGTGACGAGGGGAGGAGCGGTCTTTATGCTCACTCAGCAGGGTCTGGGGTCATTTAGCTGTAGTGGTCAGTGGATGTCTATACTCTCCATTTGGGACCACTCAGCTCCAAGGCAGTGGTCCCCAGGGTGACCAGGGCACCCAAGGCCTGGTCTCTGGAGAGAGCAGTGGCTGGGGGATCTGAAGCATGGTCTGGCTTCTGGGGCTGGCTAGGGGCAGTGGTCCACGTGGCCTGTGCTGGCTGACTCCCCTACGAGGACAGTGTAGTCCCGGGGCATAGTCTCTGGTGGTACAGCAGTCTGGGGGCACAGTGGCAGTGCAGGTGATGAGGTGATGCCTGGGGAGGACGCTCAGATGAGATATGGGCCTGGGGCTCTTAGACCCAGGGGGCCATTTTTGTGTTGGGCTGGCTGGCTCCTGAATCAGCTTCGTGGAGACGGTGAGTGTGTCCCAGCTCTCCCCACCCCGTGCCGTGTTTGTCAGGACTGGCCCTGCTATATCAAGCCCAAGATGGTCCTCGTTGGCGGCGTTTGGGAGGCTGCTATTCACGGCTGTTAGCTTGTGGGCCATGGGACACTCTTGCCCATAATTATCATGTCAAGCAAATCCAACCATCCTCCTTCCCCAAAGAGCAACACAGGAGGATTTCCAACAGCAGATGAAAGGCTTGGGCAAACCTTCTTTCATTTTCCAGAGTGCAGTGGCTTGGGAATGAAAGGTTTGGACAGGAAGGGCTGGATCAGGGCTGAGGGAGCTAAGACTGTTCAGCGTGCAGGAGAACAGAGGCATTGTTCTATCCTGGGTTTCCTCTCCCAAGACGCTGGAGCCCGAGGGAGATGGGGAGATTCCCTGAGCCAGGCCCTTCTGTCAGAGACAGTGGAGGCCCAGGGAGGTGCAGGGAGCCTCCCCAAGTCACACAGCTGGGAGCTGGGTCCAGTGCGCTGACCGCTGTCCCACATAGAGGAAGAATTGTCTCGAGAGACTGCTGGGCAGAGAAGAGCCACTGACTGGGAGAGGCCTCAGAAGCCGAATCAATTCAAGGCTTTCATTTTACAGATGGGGCAACTGAGGCCCACAGGGGAAAGAACAGAAAGAATGAGGTCCGAATGTGCTGCCGGAGACTGGCTCCATAGGAGGGGAAGCAGCCTGACTGGGAAGGTTTGGATTTCCTTGGACTTCGCTCTTGGATTTCCTCTTCCAGAGCCTGGAGAATGAGGCTGTCTCTTCCCAGTGAGGCTGTCAGCGGGGTGAGAAGGGTGCCCCAGGGAAAGCTTCCTCTGCCTCTGGAGATGGAAATTCTCCGAATCTCACTTGTTGCTGGTGCCTCAGACACCTGCCAGACCGAGGGGCATCTTCAGCATCAGTGGGCAAAGGGGCATCAGGAACCGTTTTGCTTTTGATAATGAAAATTTCTGAACATTCTCCCTTTGTAGAACTTTCGTATGCCCCCCTTTTATTTTTTATAAAAAGAGAGTAAGGAAACACATCCTATCGCAAGCAGGTTATCCAACAGGCAATTAAGGCAGAGAATGAAAAAAATGTTCCGCCTCAGAAGTGTCTGAAGCATCTTTGATCTTTCCCCCAGCCTGGAAAGCTGCCTATGCAGGTCAAAAACTTTCCTGTTCTTAAACAAACAACAAAATCCCAAACCTTCGCTGGCCCCTAGTGCCTCCGCAAGCTATCATACCATCAAGCTCCTGGAGAAAGCCTTCTTCCTCTTGTCTCTCTCTCTTTTAAATCCTCTGCAGTTAGTCTGGCTTCTGACCTCATCTCTCCATTGAAAGTGCTTGCTCCAAAGTTACTAATGACCTCCTCTTAATCTCCAAGTGCAACGTTCCTTCCCCAACCCTCCTCCTACCTGACCTCCTTGCCTCCTCTGGCGCTGTTGTGTGCCCTGTCCTCCTGAACACTCTCTCCTCTCTGGGTCTTTATGACCCTGCTCTCTCTCATGGTTCTCCTACTCCCTGTCTCACCTTCCTCTCTTTCCTTTGTGGGATCTTCCTCCAGGTCCTGTGTCGAGGCACGGAAGTCTCACAAAGCTCTGTCCTGGGCCCCTTCTCCTTCTGTGCTTCATGACCTCATCATGCCCCATTTATTCTGAGCATATTTTGTTATAAAACTACATATGTGCACATTGTCTCCCCTAGTAGAATGTAAACACTAGTGGGCAGGAACTGTTTTCATTTTTATCTTTGTATTTCCAATGCCCAGCACAGAGAGGACCTGGCACATAGTAGGCCCTCAGAAAATGGAATTTGGTCCAGGTTCCTGAATCCCTGTTTGGGTTGTTCCATTTGCATCCCATGGCCATCCTGAGCCCCAAGGCAGAGGACTCATTCAATCTGCTGCCTGGCTAGGATAGCAGTCTCTTCCCAGGGATGAGCTGAGCACGGTGAGCCTTATCCGAGGAAGTACTGGGCAGTTGGGCACAAGTCAGCTGCACCAACACCTGAGAGTCTGGAAAGGGTCATCATGGGGTTAGATGGCCAAGAACTTCCAGGCAAATGCAGGCCAGTCTCTAGACCAATTCCTTGCAACCAAGTGCTTCTAACCATCAGTAGAAACTGCTTCCTGAGCAGAATCCTCGCAATGATCTTGAGATGATGAGGGAGGGACTTGAGGTTCAGAGCCCAGAGAACACTTCTAACAGAAATCAGTTTAACTGACCCCATCACTTTGGTTGTGAGAAGCTCCTTCTGAAAGGTAAGTGTCTAGAATAAGCAAGTTCCATATTGGATTCTGGATCCCACTTAGTGCTATATTTGGGGATTTATAAGAGTTCTTCTAGAGGTGTCTAGGGAGCCTATACATTTCTACTGCTTGGTTTGTGGGCCCTGACAATGAAGGCGGTGACGTGACACACAAGTCTACAGTTTCCCTGAACATGGGTGCCTTCCTGTGTACTTCTTGTTCTGGGTTACTTGGATGTTTGCACTTGGCTTTTCCTCCAGTGCATGGCTATCTCCCTTCTGCTAAGCTGCCTTGAAAATGAATAGCCTCTGGATCCTCAGGGACCCCGGAGCAGAACAGGATATGAAATTTCATAATAGAGTTTATGTATTCAAGTCAACCAGGCTAAAATTAACTGAGTTACAAAACAATATAGGTTAGTTATAGAATAATTATAGGAGGCTGAGATGTATCTCTTTCAAAGTTGGATGAATCTAACAAAAAACTATACAGACCAAAAAAAGAAAACACAGATGAACAGTACTGAAAATTAGATTTGAAAGACAATATCTTCTGAATGGAAATATTAAAGAATGTACATATTTATCACCATCATATGATATCTTCATAAAGCTGATCACGTACATATAAATCATAAATAAATGTTAAAAGGCAGAAATAGTAAAGCATCTTCTTTAGATTATAGTTATTAACTAATATACAAGAAAAAATGCAGACCTACAGAGAGGCTAAGTAGTAACATCATGGACAATGAGGTCAAGTAACAATAACTGTGGATGGAAATAATTAACAACTATGTTAAGGCACATCAAAAAAATGAGGCAACATGAAAAAATTTGGGGATGCAGCTAAAACACTCCTAAGAAAAACAGGGTGACTAAAATGGAAAAAGACGGGAATAATGACCTGAGAATACAATTGACAGATCTAGAAAATAAACAAATTAAAACCCAGACAAGCATAGAAAAATAAGCCTTGAAAATAAGAGGAGAAATAGACACAAGTGAAAACAAAAGAACTATAAAAATGACAAGCAAAACTAGGAGCCGGTTTCTTTTTAGTGCTAACAAAATCATTAAACCACTGGCTAATGGCCAAAAAGGAGAGGAAGATCCAATGACCAAAGTAAGAAATGAACAAGGTGGATTGATAGTGAGTCAAGAACAAATAAAAACAGGAATCATGAGCTTATATACGCAATTTAGTGCCAGTTAACCGAGAACTTAAAGAAAAAGAATGCCTACCCATTAACTAGGAAATATCCAAATTAACAAAAGAAGAACCCGTTATCTTAAAGAATGCAGTCTTAGAAACTGAAACTGAGCAAGCAGTGAATGAATGACCCCAGGAAAACTAAACAAACCAAAACTTTGGCCTAGACAGATTTAGAGAGGTATTCCGCCAAGCTTGTTCAGCACTATTAATATTTATTCCACTGAAGTCATTCTCAACAATTGAGAATGCACTCTCAAATTATTTTATGAGACAAATGTAGAACTAATACTAAAACCAGGGAGAGGTATAGAAGAGAAAGAAAACTATAGACCTATATCACTAATGAATATTGATCCCCCCCAAATTAAGTAATATCTTAGCAAAGAGACTACAGCAATATCTGCCCCAATTATTCACCATGAACAAATCAGATTCACAGCAGGGATTGAAAGATGATGGAGCACCTGGTAAGCCTGGGCACGTTCAGAGTTATTGTGGCCAGAGACTAAGGCTGGACATTAACAGAACAACTAGTCTAATTAGTGACATAAACAGCAGCCAGGTGCGGAATGAAGGGAGGCCACAGATTAATTCCTTGGCCCTGGGCCTTCTTCTGAGAAGACCCCTCGAGAGCCCTTCCCTCACCCCGTTGCCTGGCACTGACCCCTGTTTGTCCTTTACCTGGCTTCTCTCTCACCCTGGGTCTGGGGACCGCACATGTTTCTGTGTATGTAAATGGCACTGACTTGATCACAAGATGGTTTTTTTCACCCTTTTTGTTAACCCTGTGTGTTCTTTCTCCCTTTGTGCTGCACAACTGATAACCAGCTGCCTTAGGACCCTGCAATGGGACACTGACCCCTCAGTGCTGCAGCTCCAGACAGACTCAGACATTGGGTATTCGTCAGCTCTTTTGTTCTGTGTTTGGTTTTCTTTGCAAAGGCTGTGTTGGAAAGGCTGGGCTCTTGTCTGTCCCCCTCTGCTGAATCTGCTGATTTCCTTCCAGTCATTCCCTGAACTTCAAAGGAAGCATCTTTTTGAGGAAAAGAAGCCACAAAAAGATGACCATTGCTACCCCTACCCATGTGACCCCTTTTTCTTTCCAAGAGGGACAAGGGGAACAGCTTCATCCCCCCAAGTTCCTCACATGCCTCTGTGTGAGGATGGGATTGACGAGCCTCACATCAGCTGGGCTTTCCTTGACTAACAGCGTGTGGGGTTCTGTTTCTGTCTGGGGTCCCTATTCAAGAGCTCCTCCTGTGTCCTGTGTGCTGCCCAATCTCTCCTTACCCACAGGGCCTCATAATAACCACTGGTCATTAGGGCTGGGGTGTTTGTTGGTGCCCAGGCCTCTGGAGAAACCTATTGAAGCAGTGGTGAGGGAGTGGGTTCTCCAGGCCTGCGGGCTGGTTTTCCCAGTGGTCCTCACCAGCAGCTCTGCTCAGCTGAAAGACGCTGTGTCAGGTGGGGAAGGGGAGTATAGGAACCGAGGCCCTGTGCCTTCCAACACACCTCAGGAAGTGGCCCAAGTGAGCAAGAAAGGAAACACGGACAGGGTTCTGGGGATCAGGCGCACCCTGGGCGGGGGAGGAGGGAGAGCATGAAAGAAGCAGTCGAGGCGGGGCCTGCAGTTCTCTGAGCCTTCTGGAGCAATGCAAGGTCCACCAAGGCCAGTCCCCCATTTAACAGATGAGGACATTGAGGCTGAGGCAGAGAAAAGACCAAATCACAAGGTCATAAGAACAACTACAATCCTGGAGTTCCTTATCCTAGAATTCATGTATCATAGAACATCCCAGAATGTCCTAGAATATCACAGAACATCCTAGAATATCCTAGAACATCCTAGAATACTTGAAGAGTTTCCAGGCACTTTGCAGATAGGCACTCTGTTGATCCTCATGACAGCCCTGGGAGGGAGGTGCTAATATTATTATCCCTATTTACAGATGAGGAAACTGAGGCTGGGAGAAGTGAAATGGGAAGCCCAGGGTCACCCAGCTGTCAATGTCTGAGACAGGATTTGAATCCAGGTCTTTGGATTCCAACTCCCATTAGACTTTCCTGCCTCTCTGGGAACTTAATCTCACTGCCTCCACCCTGCCCCCCAGCCCTCCACAGTCTGTGCTTGTTCCAAGCAGAACTTCCATCCATGGTCACTTCTGGCTGCAGTGTGGGCCCTGGTAGAGGCCTTGGGGAAGCCTGTTCTGAGAGCATTTCTGTCTGCAGCTGGTCCTGGGGCCTTGGATGGACCATTTACCACCCCAACTGGAGAGGCTGAGTCATTTCCAAAGCCCTCCTGGAACAGTGCTCCTGGAGCTTTCTTGGTGGGTGTATGTGACTAGGAAGCTGCCTCCTCCTGGAACCCATTGCATTTCCATACCTGAGACCTCCAGCCCAGGCATCAGAGGGGATGCTGATGGACTGTCTGGGGTCAGCCCAACTTCCTGAGTGCCTTGGTTTGAAGTTCTCTGATGCCCCAGGCCAGCAGAGGGGGCCCGGGGCTGTGGCATCTAGGACAGTGAGAAAACTTGGAGATGGGTATGGCCTCACCAGAAGCTAGCTTGGGTGCCCGGGATCAACTGAATCTGTGGGGCTGGTAGGAAGGAAGCCCAAGTGAAAAGGTCAGCCACAGGCAGCAGTCCCATCTACCAGAGGAGAGTGGCCAGCAGAGTAGCTTCAGCATGGCCACTGGGGGCAGCCAGCCAAAGAGACCTGCAAAGGCCTCTAGGTGACTCAGGCATCAGCCCATCTGCTTGTGGTGAAGGGGCACAGGACAGGGGTCAGGAGGCCAGAGTCCATAGGAAGCCAAGGCTTGGAACCAGTGGAAGCTTCTCAGAAATTCCAGTTTTCTCATTTGACTGCTTGTTTCCAGCAAGTCCTTGGGGTAGTAGACCTCTCTGGGCCTTGGTTACCCCATCTGTTAATGGGGGGCTGAGCCAAAGGCATCTAAGACTCTTCTAGCTATAAATCTGCTTCTGTGGCCTCTGGGCCTCAGTTTCCTCATCTGTAAAATGAGGGATATGGGCCAGGTGTGCTCTAGGGCTCCTTCTGTCTTTTTTTTTTCCAGGCAATTGGGGTTAAGTGACTTGCCCAGGGTCACACAGCTAGTAAGTGTCAAGTGTTTGATCTGAGGCTGGATTTGAACTCAGGTCCTCCTGACTTCGGGGCTGGTGTTCTATCCACTGCGCCACTTAGCTGCCCCTCCTTCTGTCCTTTCCCCAGACGTGACTCCCTCCCACAGATCAGAACACTCATGCATATGTGTGCGCACGCACACACACGACCAGGAATTCTGAGTCTTCCCAGGGGTTGCTGAGAGCTCCAGTCCCTTCCCCAACAAGAAGATCTGATCAGGTGCCCTCTCATTAAACTTAACAAAGCTCGTCACACTCCCTGTCTCCATTTCTGGTCTCACTCCAACCTTGTCACTCCACTGAAACTGTCAAAGTTACCAAAGATCATTTTTAAAAATTGTTCTTGCCTGCTTTTCCATGACCCATCACCTTTCCCAGTACCCAAAGATCTCTCCACCCTCCCAGAGAACCACCCCCAGAACACAGAATAAAATGACTAATTGATTCATGCACACCCTGGTTCCCCGGCTCTGCAGCTGTCTCTCCTCTGCGTTTGAGCCCTTGCTCATGCAGGCATTCAGGTTTTCTTTGTTGGGCTTTCCCTTCTTGTCTTTTGGCCTTCCTGGCTGGGTTTCCTTTGCTTGGCATCAGCCCACTTAACTTCCCAATTATACTCATGGTGACTTAGAACAAGAAAAGCCCCCACCTGCATGCCTCACAGTTTCCTTGACTGACTCCAGCTGCTGAGCGGCTCTTGGACTCACAGGCAGCCCTGCTCTGTTCAGGTACAGGGAAGACCTGTTCACCATGGCCCTACCTGAGGCGTGTGCCCAGCAGTGGGATCTCTTCTTGTTTTTTAAAAGTGTGAGGAAGCCTGGCATAGGGAATAGGGAACTGGCCTTGGAGTCAGGAAGATCTGGGTTCAAGTCCCACCTCTGATAGGCGTTGGATCCGAGACCCTCGGCCAGTCATAACCACTCAGGACCTAAGGGGGTGAGTTGTAGAGAAGAGAGTTTTGCCATCTGGGGGCTCTTCCTCCAATGAGTTTGTGTGTCCAGTCTGTAGCCTGGGCCACCCCCCCTTTTAAAGCATAATTCCAAATTACTTTTCAGAGTGTCTGAAAAGTTCCACCAGGGGTCATTAGTGGGCCGATCTCAACCCATCCAAGATGCCCAGTGATCTCCTGATCCCCAAATCTGATGGCCTTTTCTCAGTCCTCATCCTGGTTGACCTCTTCTCTGTTTGACACTGATGACCACTCCTCCCGGGCTCTCTCTCTTTTCTGGCTCTTCATGAATGTTCTCTTCTGGTTCTCCCACCTATCTGGCCGGTCCTTCTCAGTTTCCTCTGCTGGGCTGTCATCCACCACCACCACCCCGAGCTGTGGGTGTCCCCCAGGTCTCTAGCCTGAGTCCCATTTTGTTGACCTCATCCACTCCCATGGCATCAATGATCATCTCTTCGCAGATAGCTCCCAGTCCCAGTCTCTTCTTGGGCTCCCAATCCATATCACCAGTTGTCTTGTTGGACATTTTGAATGTTCTGTGGGTGCCTCTAACTCAACTTGTCCAACTCAGAACTCATGATCTTCTCACTTCCTTAAGCCCTGGGTTCACAACCTCTGGGGTGTCCTTGAGTCCTTGCTCTCCACCCTGTCCAGTATCAAAGAAGCCTCCCAGTCGGCTCCACCAGATCTGCATGGCTCCTCTCCAGCCCTGGGGCCAGCCCCTGTGGTCATTCACCTGTACTGGTCTCCTGCCTTTTGTTTCTTCCCCCCTCCAAGCCCAGGGGCACTTCCCTAAAGCACAGGTATAACCTCCTCATTCTCCTGCTCAGAACCTCCAAACACAGACTCCTTTGGTTGGTGTTTAAAGGCCTTCTTCACTTGGCTCCAATCTACCTTTCCAGGCACTCCATAGTCTGGTCAAATTGATCTCCTTGTTCCCATTAGACACTTCATCTCTGGCCTCTATGCCTTTGTCCAGGCTGTTCCCTAGGCCTAGAATGTCCTCCCTCCTCACCTCCACCTTTAGAATCTCTGGCTCCCTTCAAAGTCCAGCTCAAACATCAGCTTCTACAGTAGACCTTTCCTTATTCCCAGATGCTGGTCCCCTCCCCTCCCCCTGCCCCCACAGACCTATGCACATACCACGGATGCCACCTGGGAGGAGCCAGGATCATTAGTTTATGCATTGACCACTCAGTGCCCTGGATCAGTGAGCCAGGTCATGATGCCTTTCTGTGTCCCAGGGGTCTGGGGGATACAGCCTGTGGGGTATGTGTGTGGGGCTACTTAGAGTGGTGAATTTGAAACATCTTCAGGGTAAACAGGTCCTGGGCCTGTGGATCTGTGCTTCTCTCAGCTCTCCTCTCTCTGGCCCCTCTGCTGTTTGGATTCTCCCAGGTCATGCCCCTGTTTCTGACCCTCTGTTCATGGCCGGTTGGCCTACGATGTTGAGATGAGAGAGTTTGACAGAGGGCTCAATCTCTTCCCACTCCCTTTTCTGTGTTGTTCCTGCATTTATCCCAAATGACCAGGGGAGCCCCAAGGGCTCTTTCTAAGCCCTAATGAAGCAGATTCGCAGACTTAGAGCTGGCAGGGACCTCAGAGCAATGCAGGCCCCTCAAGGCCAAGCCCCCCATTCTGCATAAGAGGAAGCAGAGGCCAGCGAGGGAGGAGGCAGTACCTTGCCTCTGCAGGGACAGAGCTGGCCCTCCTGCCTTCTGCTGCTGGTCTTACTAGCTGGCACTGCCATTGCTTGGGCTGCATGGGGGTGGAGCTGGGGCCAGCCCTGGGAGGATCACCTGCCCACTTCATGGCTTGTTCCGTTTGTCCTTTCCAGGCGGAGACTGCATAAACTCGGCGTGTCAAAGGTGACTCAAGTGGACTTCTTGCCCAGGGAAGTTGTATCCTATTGTAAGGAGACACAGACTCCACTGGACACACACCAGTCAGAAGGTAAAATTCATTTGTTTTTCCACCTTGAAATGGATATGTCTCCATGGAAGGATTCAATTTGGGAGGGGGTTGGGATGGGGCACGGAGGGGTGGGGAGAAGATCCTCCCTCCCTCTTTCCCATGCTCCATCTGGTGAATTATCTCCACCCCTAAAGCCAAAGGCTTAAGGCACCTGTGTAAAGCTGGAGGGGAACAGGCTACCAAGGTGGGGGTGAGGGGCAGGTGGTCAGAAAGGCAGGCTCTCTCTTCCTCCTCAGAAGTGATTCACGTTAGCAGAAGTCATCATCCCAGGGGTGGGATCGGATTTGTCACCTGAGCAGGTGAATTTGGTAGAAATCCTAGAGAAGTCATTTTTAATTAAAGTTTCTTCTATTAACAAAAAGTAACTTTCCCCCTCCTACTTACTCCCACCATTGAAAAAGAAGATGGATCCTGCATAACACAATGAGTGTAGTCAAGCAAATAAACTCTTGTGCTGGTCCCACCCCCAAATGTCCTGTGCCCTGAATCCCCCATCTCTGGTGGTCAGCGGGGGGGTGGGGGTGGGAGAGGGAGGAGGGGGATGGGAGTGGGGGGCCCAGCGGATAAGACTGTGGCTGGCCGTCGCCTTGATCAGGGTTCTTAAGTCTTTCTGCATCATTTGTCTTTGTTGGTCTGCTCTTATATAAATTGTTCTTCCAGCTCCATCACTTTGCTCAGAGTCAGTTCGTAGAGCTCTTTCCTCATTTCTCTGAAGCTTTCTTATTCATCAATAACACATTCCTGTGCCACAATTTGTGCAGCCATTCTCCAAAAACATGAGCACCCCCTTTGCGTCCATTCCTTTGCCGCCTCAGACAGAGCTGCTATACACACGGGCTCTTTTCTTCTTCCTTTGGTCTCTTTGGGGCATAGAATGGCTGGCGTTATCAGTGTATCAATTATGAGCACAGTTTAGTGACTTTGGGGGGAGGTGATTCCAAATTGATATCCACATTTACTCCTCCACCAGCAATGCCTTCATGTGACTACTTCCCCTCAGCCCCTTCCCCATTGATCATTCTCTTTTGCTTGGCCATTCTGATGGGGTGAGGTACTGCCTCAGTTGCTTTCATTTGCATTTCTCTAATTGTTAGTGATTTTCAGTGTCTTCTCCTATGGCTTTAGGTAACCTCCTTATTCACATTCTGTGACTTTAGCACACTTCCTGGAACAAAGTCATCACTTAATAAATGCTTGTTCAGGGGGCAGCCAGGTGGCCCAGTGGATAGAGCACAGGCCCTGGAGTCAGGAGGACCTGAGTTCAAATCTGGCCTCAGACACATAACACTTACTAGCTGTGTGACCCTGGGCAAGTCCCTTAACCCCAATTGCCCTCACCAAAAAAAAAATTAAAATTAAAATAAAAAAAATGCTTGTTCACTTGTCTCAGCCATTTGTCAATTAGAGAGTGGCTTTTATTCTTATATGGTTGAATGGCTGCTTTATATAGATTGGATATCAGACCCTTATCAGCCAAGTGTTCCGCAAAGTTGTGGAGGGTTTCCTCAGTTACCTTTTCCCTTCTGAATTCTGCATTCTTACCACACCCTTGTGCTTAGCACAGGCATTCATGGGCTGGGTCAGGTCCTGGCAGCCAAGGCTTCTGGAACTCACATGCCCTGCAGATAGGCACCAACTGAGTGGCCTCTGGCTGGCTCGGGTGACCCTGCTGCAGGCAGAGTCAGTGAGCACACTGTCTTTCTCATGAGCTCTAACCCACTGTCCCTCAGTAGTCCAGACATTGGTCAGTGCTTGGCACTGAGGAGAAAATAGCCAAGCACAACAGAGAAAAGGGAACAACTCTGCCTCTCAGGGTGTGTCCAGGTGTGCGTACACATTTTTGTATGTGCCTGTCCGTGTGTGTGCTTCCTGGGACTGATGCCAGCTTGGCGATGGGGTCTGGGCTCCCGGAGTAAGCCAAGCACGCCCTCTGGTGGCTGTCAGCAGAGCAGGTCCACCAGTGATTCGAAGAGTTCCAGGAGAGCTGCTGTGTCAGACCTGCCCAGAGAGCTTTCCATAGTCAGTGCATCCTGGGAGGGGCCAAGGAGCCAAGTACAGCATCTGTTCTTGAAGGCTGTAGACTGACCTGGCCCAGAGCTCTCCTGGAAGCTCTCACAAGCCTGGCTGCAGGGATGCCTGCTTCAGCAGCAACTAGAGGGACTCTCCATTTTTCTGACCACCCCAGTCAGGCTCTCGGGGGGTGGAGCCTCTAGTACCTCCCTAGTAAACCATCCTATAGTGCCTACATGCTGGACTGAGATGCCACGGCTCCTTGGGGGTGTACAGGAAGGGGGCTGGCTGGGCACCATCTAGGGACTTCTGTTGGATGCTTGGGGCTGGCACTGGTCAAGCCAGGATACTGTTATACATTCTCTGGCATCTCTGGGAAGCCTGAAGAATTCCCATATTTAATGTCATTATCTCCCCAGTGGGAATTCAGAGCCCAGTCTGGAGATCTGGGCACTGGTGAGAGGCAGGACTGGGGTGAAGTGGGCAGAACTGGGTTTGAGTTCCATCTTTGCTGCTTGCCAAGTGTTAATACCCATCCCCCCACCCAGTCTCAGTTTCTTCATTTGCATAATGACATTAATCCCCCTTGCACCTCCTTCCTCACTGAGTTGTTTTGAGACTCAAAGGAGGCCAGATCTATAAGGGACCCTGTAAGCCAAGATCACTATTATCCCAGGGTGGCTTGTATGATTTCTCAAAGTCCCTCTGCCCGTGGGCATTTAGTAGTCAGACCCAGGAAAAATGGTGAAGATCGTTGATTCACACTACACCCACCAAAGGCACCCTTGCCCTCCAGGGACTCCGTAGAAGGAGAACGGCTCTAGGGTAGAAATGCACCTGTATCTTCAAGGAAGAATTGCAGCCCTTTCTCAGAGACCTCTGTGGCTCTGGCCATGGTGCTGAAGTGCTGTCCCCTACTTTGGTCCCCACCTCCATGTTCCTGTTCGGTCCTGAAGGGGACAGGGAAGGGTGGGAACTGTCTCCCCATTGCAACGAGCAGGTGCCAGTACTCAGGTTAAGAATCATTCACCATGGGGCAGCTAGATAGCACAGTGAATGGAGCACCAGCCCTGGATTCAGGAAGAGCTGAGTTCAAATCTGGCCTCAGACACTTGACACTAGCTGTGTGACCCTGGGCAAGTCACTTCACCCCATTGCCTCACAAAAAAAAAAAACAAATAAAAAGAATCATTCACCATGTGCCAAAAAAGGAGCTGATATTTCAGTCTGAAGGTCATAGGGAGCCACTGGAGTTTGATGAGTAAGGGAGTGACATGGTCAGATCTATGCTGTAGCAGAGTCGTTGTGGCTGCTGTGTGAAGGATAGATTGAAGAAGGGAGACATGAGGCAGGGAGAACAAGCAGGAGATTTGGGGAGTCATCCTGCCAGTCCCAAAGTAGCAGATGGTGGCAGCATGAGCCATAGAAAGCAGCCCAAAGTTGAATGTAGGAAACCTCATCTTGAGCCCTGGTCCCTGTGTGACACGAGGCAGGGGACTTCCCCTCTCTGGGTCTCAATTTCTTCACTGATAAATTGAGGCTAATCCTTATCCTTCCGTGCTCTCAGGGCTGTTTTTGTGTGAATACACCCGAGACACAAGAACCTTGCCATCATTGCCTGGGGAGGGTGCTGTTGGGAGGCCCCCATCCTTAAATTCAGGCTCTAGGGACTTTCCCCCTCCAAATGAAGTCCTCTGCCTTAGGAGCTTATTACCTCTAGCAGCTCTGGGGAGACTTGGAGACAGACCCAGGGAACATCTATAAGCAACCTGCAAGCCCTTAGAAAAGCTGAGGGACTAAACCTTGAGTTGTTTTCTGTTTTGACCTGAATAATGAGTCCCAAAGTCAGAATCTGCTGTCCTGTGCCCCTCTGGGGAATTCCTGTGGCCCTAACCCCAGCAGGGTGTGACTGAGCCTCAGCAGGAGTGGAGTGGAGCCCCACACATCCTGGCCACCAAGGGGAGGAATTCCCAGAGCTCTTGTTCTCTCTTGGTTTTCTTTGGGTCTGTGACTATCACTCTGCGAGCTATCTTGGTCACTGGAGGTGATCCATTGGAGAAGGAAATGGCAAACCCCTCCAGTGTCTTTGCCAAGAAAGCCCTTGGACTTTCTGGGAACCAAGATAGAGGAGTAAGAAGCAAGTTGCTCTCACTGTCACTTGTCAACCTCTGAAAGCCCAGAAAATATCACCCCAGGAAAAGCCCTGCAATAGCTGAACCAGAAGAAAGATGGGGTGCAGCAGTCCAGTGCCCCAGGTAGCTTGAGGGATTAATAGGAAGGGCCCCTCTTGCCCTGGGGGAAGGGGAGCTGTGCAAAACCCAGCAAGCTGGTGGAAAGCCCCACCTCAGCATACCAGGAGGATATCCTGAAACCCAGGTGGTGGAGCAGGCAAACGCCAACACCTGGACCCCCAAGTGCCTCAGTGAGGGTGGGGGGAACCAGTGGAAACCAGCTCAGAAAACCACCAGGTGCCTCAGCATTCTACAGCAAACAAGTCTCCTAGTGCCTCAGCAAAACTAAGGGAAGCAGCATTTCAAGGGGCCCCAGGCAGATAAACATCCTGCAACATTCATCTGAAAGGAGCTGAAGAAAGTGAAAGGAAAGGAAGGGCAGGCAACCTCCAGGAGCCACACTGCCCAATTTTACCCCTAGAGTTCCAGTGTTGCTGATTCCAGCTCAACACCAGGTAAGCTGCCAGAGCCCTACAGCCTCCAACTGCTAACACTGGAGGCCCCAGCACACAAAGCCAGTGACCAGGCCCAGGGCTCCCAACACAGGAAGTTTGGGTCAATGTTCTCTGCTCCCCAGCAGGAGAGCTCAATCTCTTTAAAGGCCAGGAAATAGGCAAACACCATGAGCAAAAAGAAATGTACCATAGATTCATATTATGAGAACAGTGAAGATCAAGGGAGAAATTCTGAAGAGGACAACATTGTCAACAAACCCACATTTGGAACCTCAGAAGAGAA